TAAATTTATGCATAGATTATCTTACAGTGCTGGCAATATTTACTTGCGTCAATTGATAAAGCTTCACATATATAAATTCTACTTATTGTAAGTAATCCGAAAATGAGTAAATTCTTTTATATTTGGTCTATAAAAGTCTAACTTATATATTTTGTTATCTAGTTTGTTCTTTTTTTTCTCTTTTTAGAGAATGTGTAAAATAAACGAAATTGTGCAAGATTTTTTTATAATTAGTTTTTACGTAATTACTCTGTTTTATCTATTTTATTACATTTAAAACATTTTATTTTTGTCTTTTTACGTCTTTTCAAGAGGCGACAAAAAGTGTGTTTTAGACGTCTTTTGTACATGGTTTTTAACTTGATAAAAAACTCATCATCAAAATATGTTTAAAGAATGTATTTTTCCGTTGTCAATAGCGTAAACGTTTCGTAGAAACGGTTGTTATACGTATATTTACGTTGTCAATAGTCATTAAACTTTATGTCTTGGAAAGACGATTGCAACAGCGATAAACTCATATGTAGCTTGTAATGATTAAAAGCTTGACACCATTTTGATTTATTTTAAAAATATGTATAATAGATTTTCAAAAGTTACATATTTATCTGTGAGTTTTTTGTATGTGAGAGTATTTCGCATTTTGAATATGAGGGTATGCCAAAATTTGTATTTGAGAGTATTTCACAATTGAATATTTAAAAAATTATTTTTGTTAACGAAAAAAAAATTTAAAAAAGTTTATTATGCAAACGAAGTGTCGAAAGAAGTATAAAAAAACAATTTGAACTGTCATTTAGAAAAAATGTTTTCTAAATTGGTCTGCTCTTTATTAAAAAATGAATTTGTTTTGAAAATAAAAATTTATGCCAGTAACTCATTAAGCACAGAACGTTTTTAAAACGTTTAAAAACCTATTAAAACTGTTTTTAACGTTTTTTAAACGTTTTAAAAACGATCGATGTTTACTGGGAAATAGTTAACATGAAATGTTAACTCTTTATGCATGGAATTGTTTAACTAAGTATGTTAGATTAGATGTTTCAATGTTTTACGCAAAAAACACCTATACAACCAATTTCATGTGGGTTTTTTTACGTGGTATATTTTTAGGTTTTATATTTTTATCTGGTATACAGTAGGTTTTTTAACTTTAACTGATATATGAAAATGTTGTACATTTTTATCTGGTATATAATTTTCCAACTGATGCCAAACTTTATATTATAAATTGTTTTCATGATATACTAAAAACATGGCAGATCCTCTGATAGAATATAAAGTAATAATTTTAATAACAATTCTAATAGTAACAATAATAATCATTTTTTAATAATAATACTTTGTTTAATCATTTTTTTCCAGTAAGTTAAAATTCTTCAAAGATCTTTATCTTTATATTTATCTTTATCTTTATATTTATCTTTATATTTATATTATTTATTATAAGATATTTGTCTCTATTGACGTAACAGAAAAAATTCAATTCCTTTGATATGAATATGGGCTGAATTAAAATCAGAAATAAATGTATCTAGATGAAAATAAATCAGAAACTTTTTTTCTTTTTTATTTATAAAATTTTATTTTCTGCATGAAATCTTGCTTTCCGAAGGTTTTTTTTGAAACAAAACGTTTTTTTTTTTTTTTAATATTTTCTATATTATGTTACTTTAACTTTGAAATAAATTTTATGACTTTTTCTGAGAAATTTACTTAGTTTAATTTGTTTATCGATAATAATTTATTTCTTCTTTGATTTATTTTCAATTTAACTTCTAAATTGAAAAACATTTGTTTTAAGGGTTACACTAGATGGTTTGAAAACTGGAAAAAAAATTCTTTAAACGTCCCCACTCCTCATTTTTTTTGAACCGTTTGCTTAGACATAAGATTGGGAAGTACCCAAAAACAAGACTGAAAAAAAAAATTTTTTTTCAAAGTTTTTGTAATGAAAGAAAAAAGAAATTTGAGAGAATAATATTGATTTTTTATGTAGATATAAAAACTTGATAACAATTGGATTTGAATTTTTTTGATTGTGACTGAGAGGATTTTTCAACGATTTTTTTAGATTTTACTAATGTGTGTCAATCAATATAAATCATACAAGTTAATCATACTAAAATCAATCAATAAAAGTCATGCATATAACCTTTGTTCTTATGCGGACCAAAAATATGAAATATCTTTAAAAATAAAACATATCTATTGTTAAGTCAATAAATATTTTTAAATAAAAAAACAAAACCTTTTAACTACAATAAATAAATCTAAATCTTCTATTTGTAGTTTTAAGTTAATTTTTTATTTTGCTTTCATTAAACATTTTTGAGAATTAAATACAAATTTTCAAATATTTTATTTCTTCTAATATTATAATGAATATCAACGATTTGTGTAATTATACACAGCGTAATATATGTATAAATAACTTAAAAATAACTCTAAATGTAAAATTTTATTAAATACTAAACTTTTAAAATGTCAAGAAAAATTAAGAGTGTTTACTTGATAACAAAGAGGAACAAAAATGAATTATAAGAAAATATGCACACAAAGCAAAAAAAAAAAAAAAAAAAAAAAAAAAAAAAAAAGGGAAAAATTTTGAATTTAAATTTTTTAAATTAAATATACCTAGTATCGGAAAGTCACTTTTGATAAATTTTAATATACAGCTTTCAAATTTTATTTATTAGTTATGGAAACAAGTTTTTTATTTCAAATTGCGAAGAACTTGTTTTTACGTTAAAAATTAGTTTTACTTTTTAAATACTTTGGGTAATTGAAAACTTTATATTATTTTTTATTTTAAATTGCAACTTTAAACGGTTTTTAGATACCAAGTAAAATTCGAACCACAAACTGCAAACAGCAAACTGGTGCTGAAAACATTTTTTGCGCATCGCATTTGATCTTATTGGTAATTAGTGATGCAGCCGTTTTCGACAAAAAATCGGCTCCAATCAAAGCCATCAATCGGTGTAGGCACATTTAACTTTGCATATTCTTATTGTCGGCTAATGTATGTACATTTAAAAATATACCAAATACCATTTTATAAATTTATTTATCTATATAAATGAATAAAATGTTTACGGTATATAAGTTTTTTTTCTTTATTTTAAGCAAAAAAGCTTGCATATTACCAGCTCAGAGTTCACGGTTTGCATTTTATTATTTAATTTGATAATTGTATTCTATTATTTATTTTTTAGCGCGATTCTTATGTTATTTTTATTGTTAATTACCTACTGTAAATTGTTTTACAAGGCATATTCTTATTGTTAATTACCTACTGTAAATTGTTTTACAAGGCAAAAGTACAATATATATATATATATATATATATATATATATATATATATATATATATATATATATATATATGTATATATATATATATATATATATATATATATATATATATATATATATATATATATATATATATATATATATATATATATATATATATATATATATATATATATATATATATATATATATATATATATATATATATATATATATATATATATATATATATATTGGGTTCAGGGTTATAGCGGGGTTTTCAAAAAGTGTTTTGCGTAAAACGTGACTCGTTTTTTTACGGACTAACTAAAAGGGATGCCAAAAAAACACGTCTATCAAAATTTTCGATACGTCATTTTAAAATTCTTCTTTATAATCTTTTAACACGTTTTCTAAAACTTTATAACGTTCTAATCTTTAGAACGTTTAGAAGAAGTTTAAAACACGTTTTAAAAGAAAATTAGAACGTAACTTTTAGAATCAAATGTCCGTTGGTGTAACTAATAAAACAATAAAACGTTTTAAATTTTTGTTTATCACGGTAACTCTACAAACACCAGGTGGTTTTATCCAACAACATTATTATCAGAATGGCTCTTAATGAGACGGTTTTCTATTTTTATCTTCATCAAAGACTCTTTTATAAGTAGGGTAAGATTAAAGTAGGGTAAGATTAAAACTCTTATGATGCAGCATTTTTACCACTACACCGCAGCTGTTTACGTTAAAGAAACTTTTTATACACTGCGTATTCAGGCTAATTTATAATAAATACGATAATAATGTAATATAATGCAGTAAAAAAGCTTTGCCAAGAGAAAATAATTAGGTTAATTCAAAAACGCATAAGAAAGATAATTTTTTTTTTTTGGCAGGTTATAAATGTTTTGCAATTACTTAATTGTTTTTATTGGCGAAGTTTATTATAAAAAAAAAAAAGGATTTATATATATATATATATATATATATATATATATATATATATATATATATATATATATATATATATATATATATATATATATATATATATATATATATATATATATATATATATATATATATATATATATATATATATATATATATACATATATATATATATATATATATATATATATATATATATATATATATATATATATATATATATATATATATATATATATATATATATATATATATATATATATATATATATATATATATATATATATATATATATATATATATATATATATATATATATATATATATATAAACACACTAATAGTTGATGTAGAACTTTTCATTTTGGATTTCCAATATAAATCCCAAAACGTTTTTAAAAAATTATTGCGTAAATATCGCTACGTACGCCGCAATTAGAAATTCAATTAATCTAAATTAATTATTAATTAACTTGTTTAGGAAATATACCGTAAATAAATGCTTTAGGATGTGTATCTATTTCCTAATGATTATTTAAAAAAGTTATCACTGGGTATAATTTGTTGTATTTAAAAAAATTTAACCGTGTTTAAAAAGGTAGGTCTTAAAGAATTCAAAATGCTTTTTGTATAGCTGATATAAAGAAACCATAATTCTACTCTTAAGAAGAATTATTACGAAGGTAATTCTTTTATCTTTGTTAAAAAAAAAATAACTTATCGGCTCAACAAAATTTGACTTCCTAATTTATAAAACGTTTGCGTATATTCGTTTTGCGTATAAGGCCTGGATATTAAATTAAGTGAAGCACATCAGTCTTGCAAGTCTTTTTCTTTTCTTTACGTACTGTATTGCTATAAAAAATATCAGGTAAAATAAATTCGGTTGGTGATCAAATGCATTTGGTTGGCGATATGCAGATAAACATTTTTTGTTTATTCGTTCTATTTATTTTTTCAAACAAATGCAAGTAAATATTTGCCAATATACTTTTAATTTACTTAAAAAAAAACTTGAATTGTAATAACTTTTTACTATTTATTTTAGATATCTTTCAGTTAAAAGTACTTCATAAATAAAGACAATATTATGCAATTACAAATGAAGTATTACAGACAAATAGCAATTTATATCTTTTTGCAAGCAGTTATAGGTAAATGCTTTGTGTGTATATATATATATATATATATATATATATATATATATATATATATATATATATATATATATATATATATATATATATATATATATATATATATATATATATATATATATATATATATATATACATATATATATATATATATATATATATATATATATATATATATATATATATATATATATATATATATATATATATATATAATAATAATAATAATAATAATAATAATAATAATAATAATAATAATAATAATAATAATAATAATAATAATAATAATAATAAACGGAAATGAATAATTGAAAGATTCATGTCTATTGGGAAACAACATTCCAAAATGACACTAAAAGTGTTTCTTTTTTTAAAACATGATTAATATAACCTTTATTTAGGGCGCCACTTTTTAGGGCGTTCAATCTTTTTGGGCACTTACAAACATTTTATGGAGTTTTGTATGTGCCAAGTATAAACAAAAACCAAAAGAATAAATATTAGATAAAAACTTTAATTTTCTTTTTTAGTAAACTTTGTATAAGAAATAGTTTAAACAACCATGTGTTTGCATGTTTAACAAAAAATATTTCGTTTATGTTAATATTAAGTTGTCTAGTTGGCGGCATTTTTTAAAAAAGTATTATTAGCTATTTATAAAATATATTAAAAACAAGTAACACCTTTTTAAAACCAAAATTATAATATTAAAGTTACAAACTTATATTTTCTTTACATTCTTATACATTTACTATTAATTTATTATAACTAATGTACTTTAAAGACTTCCGTTTTTTATGATTTTTTTTATTCTATGGCTATTTTTAAAGTTAGAAAGTTTTTAAAGTTTATAAAAATGTTTTGCTTCGGCTTCCTATCGCCATTAAAAGATGGTAGCGAAGGATACGTTCTAAAGTTATTTGTATTGTTAAAGACGGATGCGTCTGGTTTTTTAGTATTTTAATTATAGTTAATGTTAAACACGGTTTTAAAAATTATTTAATGCAATTTAATTTTTTAATTAAAAAAAAAAAAACTCATGGTGTTCAACTTAATTCTATGTTACACAGAGATCTTATTACATATGAAAAATAGAGACAAAGGTGAATAAAAACTCTCCCCACCCTTGTCCTATTTTCCTCGACCTTCTCAATTATTTAAAAATTGAATATTAAAAAAAAAAAAAAAATTTATACAAATAAATACTTTTTTTCTAAAAAGTTTAAAATTTGATTTAAAAATTTTACTTTGAATTAAAAAAAAAAGTTATTTTTAGGATCTGTTTCTCAAGTTATCAGCGACTCACCAAACGCTCTGGAAAACAGAAAATTTTTGTTAAAAAGTAACTTTTATTTTACAAAAGAAATGAACCGAATAATTTTCCACATGCCGCATGCCACAGTCTGTAAAATAATACAAACAGTGACCAAAGAACACAATATTGATTTTTCGTCATACTATAGTAAGAACTATATGCAAAAAACTTGGAATATTTGCGCTGAAACAATGACAAACGTCAAAATACTGGTTACCACTGAAAATTTTAATGTAATACTTGTGAAAATATACAATCTTCTTCCAATTAGCTTTCAATGCAATATTTTAAACTTAATTATATCTCAATTGAGCGGTTTAAAAGATAATAAATGCGAAAATGCGTTTCAAATGAGCGATGATAAAAGAAAAACATATAACGCAGTATTGCATTTACTTGAAAACGAATTACGAAAGAAATTTTCTATAATGCCGATTTCGACACAATGCAATCAAATTTTTTCTGGTGCCACCGGAGTGTATGCAGACACTTTAAAGTTTTCATTTTCCAATCTAAAGACTGGTGTAGAGCCAATTGAAAATACATTAAGAAGTTTGGTACCAAAGTTGGTTGAAAACTTTTATAAAGAAAACGATATCAGCCTACCAGATATGAGCCCGTTTTGGAAAAAAATGATGAACAGTAAATTTTTCCTTCACTTCAGCAGCTACGAAGAAAATGAGTCTTATACAGTTAATGTGAAACTTTTTTATGCCTTAAATGGCGAGCCTCCCCAAAGTGCGCATCTTGTTTTGGCTTCAATTTATTCATATGGCATAGAAAAATTTGAAAAGAATATTGAGGCGTCAGTAACAATATCGTTAGAAAACAAAAATTTGAACTCAAAAGTTAAGTTTGAGAGATTTCCTGATAACTTGGTAAATTATTTTAACAAAAGTGCTAGTTGTCAAAGATGCCTAATCTTGAATAGTATATCAGTATACTCCAACAAATCGATAAGCGAAACAATCCAAAAACTGCAACTCATGAATAAGATTACAAAGAATTCATGTCCTGAGCTCTACCGTGAAAGTAACAAAAATGAAAATACTATTTTAAGCAATCAAAAAAGTAATGAGCGACGAAACGGAATATTAACTCCTCAACAACAAAAAACTGAACAAAGAAATAGCTCAAATCAAATCATAACAAAGTTATCAGTCGTAGAAATTTTTGTTATTATTTCGCTTAGTTTTGTATTTTTATTTGGGGTGGCTTTTCTTGGAACTATGACTGTTTATTTAAAGCGCAAAAGACAGAGAAGAGAATTTGAAAAAGCCATGGACATTGATTTAAAGTTATCTAAATCATCCATATCTCAAAACACTGACAGTTTGAACTTAGCCACAGCAAAAGAAAGTAACCACACCAACAATTCTGAAAATGAACCGTTATACTTTCCGACCGAGCAATCATATAACTACAATAAATCTTTGAAATGTTTGGACACATTATCTCAAACATTTGATGAAAACAACTTTTCCCTTAAAAGCAATACCGAAAACATTTTAAAACTTAAATCTAGTTCTTATATACTTGGGAAGCTAGACAAAAATTATAATCAAACAATAAAACACTTTTTAAACCAAAATATAAAAGAAACAGATTTATAACGTCAAAAAAGACAAAGCGCTTTTATAATGTTTATATGTATATACAGATTTAAAAAAAAAAAAATTATTTATGAATGTTAGTTTATAACATTACAAAATGACATATTTATATCATTAAGCATAAAGGAAATTCTCCTTGAACTTTGAAAAAATATTTTTGTTTATTGTTTATTTTATAGATCAACTTCCCCGAAAAATAATCAATTTTTTCAACGTCCCGCAAAGCAACACGCAGTAAATTTTAAGCGTGTGAAATAATTTTGTATGACTAACTGTCATTCACAATTATTACAACTTATTTTAAATTAAAACAAAAATGTTTTTGTAATCTTTAGATAATCTCTATTTCTATATATTCTACTTATCTTAATTAACACTAAACTTTTAATTGTCAGCTCGTTTTATCTTTTTGTTGTTTTGTAAATTTACAAATGTAAATTTTTTTACATTGATTTAAGAAATTTGAACTTAAAAAGCGTTAAAAATGCTTGAAAAAAAAAAAACTACGATAAAGTGCACAGAAAAAAAAAACCACGATAAAATGCTTAACAAAATATAATAAATTTAAATTAAAATAATTACTTTTCAAAGTAATTATTAATAATTCTTTAAATTTTGTAATATTCTTTTGACAATAAGGAACAATAGTCAAATTAAGCAATTTGATAGCAACGTTAATTTGTTTAAAGTAAAGCTTTTCAATAATGTAACTTAATTAGAACAAGAATTAAAGTACAAATTAAACTTATAAATACAGTTATACAACAACATAAGTGTTTGTTGATCAATGATATAATAAGCCAAGTCATTAGTAATCATTTATTTAAAAATTTCAAGTCGTGAGAAAATAACCTTTCGAGTGTGCGCAAGACTATCTTATCTTTTATCATTAAAAATTTTATGTCACGAGAAAATAACCTTTATTATTAAGATATATTTATATTGTTTATTAAACACTTTTTATTTATCAATATATCAGTGGCGGATTGAGGTTTAGTGTCGCGGGGGGGGGGGGGGGAGAAGTCAATGAATCGGGGTGACCGCGGTTGTCTTCAGTAATTTGATCTTATAATTATTATTTTTTCGATTGTTTTAGGGAGCGTTATAGGAGGGCGTGGGGGGCAGTTCGCCCCTTCCCCCCCACGCCTTATACTAAATCCGCCACTGGAATATATCCTTTGTTTAGAATAAAAACAAGTTGCACAGTAATTGCAAATCAATAGATTCTTTAGACAGAATGTTCGTAATTATTTATGAATATATCCTTTGTTTACCATAAAAGCAAGTTGCAACAGTAATTGCAAATTAATAGATTCTTAGAATGTGATTATTCGTAATTATTTATGAAATTTTTTAAGTTCAAAATAAAATTAGTAGTTTCATTTAAAAAAGCATTTTATAGAAAAGCATTAATAAAACAAGATAATCGAGACAAAAACCCGATAAATATTAAGTTCTAGTAAAACTAAGTGGAAAGCTAATTATTAATTTAAAATATCTGATGCACCATTAAAAAATGGTAGTAATCGTGCAAATTTAATGATTTGATTTAATATAAACATTTAATATAAACTGATGTGTTCATGATTAAACAAAGATAAATTATATAAAAACAAACCGTCTACGTAAAACTGTTTTTGTATATTCGGAAAAAAGCAAAAAGGAAAAATGTTAACAATACAAATATGACGTGTTTTTAAGGGTGCTTACAATAGAACTTTTGTTTTCTAACTTGTTCCGGTCATTTTTTTATTTTATCTAAAATCTTAAACGTTTATAAGTTGATGATATAAATAAATACTCTCTAATTTGACAATTGCGCATTTACAGTTACATTAAATTCCATATCAACAAATTAAGTTTGGGTTTACGATTAAACCCGTTATTTTATTATTCCGGATTGGACTTGATTATTTTATTATTCCGGATTACTGTTGGACCTGGTTATTTTAACAGCTCTGTTTTTAAAATTATTAAAGTAAAATAAATAGTTTTTTTAAAACAGAATTGAAATTAAAAATACTATAAAAATAGCCTCAATTAAAAAAAGCGTTAATTAAAAAATTAAAAAAACCTAATTGTTAAATCTTTTCTCTTTAATTTTATTAACATACTAATTAATTTTTTTTTAAAACATTATTAAAATCTTATAGGTAATAAATTATAATCGTGTTTTTTTGTTTTAATAATCTTCAATACCATCCTTTTTGCTACCGACTTCTTTATCTAGGAAAAGCCTTATATCAATACCAGTAAAAATTTTATTAACGCCGCAATTTTAAATGTAATCCTTCAAAGCTTGTATGTGGTTTTCATTTTTTGCCGAATGTGACAAAGTGGTATTAGGGTCATCGTCGGAACAATTGTTGAAGTCAAATATTCAAATTAGAACAGTGATATGTGTTTAACCAACAGATTAGATTAAAGTCATATTTAAGTTTGTATAAATTTACGCAAAATAAATACTTATTTCCGTCGGTTGCTGTGGTTGCTTTGATAACAGACATAAAGAAAAAAACAATTATTTTTGTTCTATAAAAGGTTAACGGGATACCGTCTAGTTTTTTGATTTTTTAACAATGAGTTTTTAAAGCATCAAATTTTAAAAAAATGTTCTTATTGTTACATGGTAAACATGAACATAAACATGTAGATTATTGTGAAGAACAAGTAAAAAAATGCATACCAGTTTATGCCGTGTGAATGGGCAAAATATATAAATGTTATGATGATGCTTAAAATATTATTTTTGAATAATATTTTATATATTGGCATACCTAAATCTATTTAAGAGTTTAAAGATGCAGAAAAACATCACGTGACTTTTCATGCTTTATGTATTAAACACAATGGTTAACTGCCAATTCATTTCAAGTACATCCTTGCATACAGTACGTGATTTAATCAGATTTACTGGGTGGCCTTGTATCTATGCTTAAATACTGTATGAGTCTAACTAATTAGTATAGGCGCAAACAACCAAACAAGCAGATAGTGACAAATAGATACTAGCCCAACAGAGGCTCACAATAATTTGATTTAGGCAAGATAAAAAAAAAATTGCAACAAAGTTTTATCAAATTCAAATATATTAATAGTTTTTCAAACTCAAATATATCATTAAAAATGTTTTAATTGAGCTTTTCCAAAAATGTAATAAAACATTAAAATTTTCAAAAATAAAACCATTTTTTTAAAAATTATTTAAAATAAAAATTTCTTGTAGAAAACTTTAGGAAAACGAACTTTTTATTTATCTTGAAAAAAAAAATTTCATTTTTATGCAAAGAAATCTAAAATTAAAATAGAATTTCTGCTTTTTCCTCGCAAAATTTAATGAATTTTGCATCGTTTATCGTGGACCCTTTGGAATATCATATATATATATATATATATATATATATATATATATATATATATATATATATATATATATATATATATATATATATATATATATATATATATATATATATATATATATATATATATATATAGGTATTGTGGTTTATCCTCCTCCAGCTAATTGCCATACGGAGGCCACATTACCAAGGACCGCAAAGACAAGTTCAGCTAATAAATAGCGTCATTACCTGCTCTACGGACCAAGAGTAAAGTGAGTTTAGGAAGAACGAAGAATGTTAGAGTGAAAGACAGGAAAAGTCGTGTTAGAAAGATAGCATACAGAAAGCGAACAGGATTGCACACGATGTCAGAAGGTGCAATATGTTACTATAAACATAATTGGCTTAAGCCAATTAATGTATGCAATATATATATATATATATATGTATATATATATATATATATATATATATATATATATATATATATATATATATATATATATATATATATATATATATATATATATATATATATATATATATATATATATATATATATATATATATATATATATATATATATATATATATATATATATATATATATATATGACATTATTGGATGTAAGCAAAACTAAAAAAAAATTTGAAATCCAGATTCAAACACTTAATTTTATAATACATGTGGTATTACTAATTTTATTTCTAACACCGTTTTTTTTAATACCAACATTAAGTATTTTAAAGTAGCAATATTTTTAATTTGACTAGTTTTATTTTTGCAATACTTTTCGCACCTTTGTGATTTTAGTGTGGCGATTATCCTATCCTTGTAAATTGCGTCCAATTTTCGGACATAAAAATTACGCAAAATGGCGTCCAAATATTTTCGGGCATAAAAATTACGCACATTCATATTCAGAAAAAAAAAATTACTGATATTTCAACAAGTCCTTTTTTTTTTTTTTTTTTGTCAAAATTAGCTATCTAAGAAATCTTTTGTGGATTTCTTGGCTGAGCTATCCTAGCTTAGCCATTAAATCCACAAACAAGGACTGGCTAATACTCGTTTAAATTCGGATTACAAAATTTACTGAAAGGCGAAGTTGACTTCGGCTTCGACTTCGGCGCCGAAGTTGAAATAGAAATTCGGCTTTCAGTTAAATTCGTTAAAAATTTGCTTTTAAAAAATACTTAAAAACTGGTGAATATTTAACCTTGTATTCTAAACGATCTTTTTCCTTTATAAAATGATAATAAAAATTTTTCCATGAACGTTGTAAATGTTTTTTTGTTCATGTTCGTTCAAAAACACGAAGTTGTATAGATTCCATAACTTAAATTTTCATTGTAACTGAATTTTTAGATTTTTTATTTTGACGCAAATTGTTTTTTGTAAGCGTATATTTTTTAATAAACTAAAGTTTACTTGGCTTTCCTTTTTCTATGTTATGTTTTAAATTTTGGTAATTACAAGCTAAAAATAATAACTTTATTTTATAAAAAATTATTATACAACGACCGCGGCGCAATGGTTGGAGCGCTAGCTTTAGAAGGAAAAGACCTCAGGTTCGAAGCAAGCTCTGGGTATATTTCGCTCCTTCGGTAAAGAAGTAGGTTTGAATTTCCTAGTTTAACATTTTTCTGATATACTCCGTGGTAAAACCGTTACATCTTCTTGGAACATTTAAAGCAAAAAACAAAAAACAAAACAAAAAAAATTT